AGAAGCAGTCAAAACTAACAAAAGAGCAACAATATATAAGTGCAAATGACAAGTCTCGGTTAGCCTAACACAGCACACGTAGCAAGGTGTATGTATATGTATATATATATATATATATACATACATACATATACACACATATATATACACACATAATACATATATACACATACAGACATACACACATACATGCATACAAACAAACAAACAAACATATATATATACATACATACATACATACAAGTATACATACATACATACACACACATATATATATACACATATATATATATATATACACACACACACACACACACACAATAATATACAATTTTTATTTTTTTTTAAATATTTACATTTAACAATATAAACATTTACATTTAATCTGAAAATATAAATAATATGAAATCACCTTAAATAAATGCTAATAAATCACTGTATGTTCAGATCTTCAGCTATAAGCAAAACGTACAGTAAGTTAAGGTGCATGTGTGTGTATGCGTTTACATTAGTGAGTCACAGGGCCACCGCAGAGATCTGGAGATGGTTCTCCCATCATTGTAATGAGGCGTTGGAACACCAAACCTACTATCTCTCCTATAGGGATTGCAATTGTATTTTCTGTCCACACGCTCTCCTGCAGCAACAAAGAGACAAATGCAGCCAAAAGCTGTCCATCTGCGTTTTCTGAAATGATGCCAAAATAAGCACAAGAGAAAAAGACAACAACAAAAATGCAAAGTTTAAGCAAAGACTAAGACCTCTAAATGGGCTGCAATCTGACTGACCTACAAAATAGGATCCGTGTGAGCGAATGTAGAGCTGGTGTCCCTCATCCGCTTCCTTCTTCACCTGATGTGTGGTTTTGGGTGGATTGATGACCTCACCGCCGTTAGATACTGCATTTAAAAGAATTCAAAGATTTGTTGTTTCTTTTGATTATTGAGTCTATACATGACTATGCTGGTGAGGTTTCACTATTACTCTTACACTGGAGCGTTGTAACACCAAAAGTGGATTTCTCAGCATCGAGCCAGCTTGGTAAACCAGAGCCTTGAACTCCTGACCTCCCAAGAGGAGCTTTCTGATAGTTGGCATAACTGAATTCATGAAAATGACACAGCCTCTCTTGGAAGTGTGTTTTTGGTGCAGGATTGATCACTGATCCAGCCTGAAAATGCATGCATGCAGTGCACAAACAACACATTTTTCCCATCTATTACATTTGCAACAAAGTCTAAAGTTGCCAATGTGCTTTTAACTGAAAAAAGAAAAAAAAATCTCATGAATAATTTTTTTTTAAGTCTAAAAAAGACTCGGATTTCTCTAAACATTTTGTATTTTGATTTTGAGTGAAATACTGGTTTTGTGTGAATCACCCACAAGTTAAAACAGTTTAAACATGAAGCAATAAGAACGAATATGATCACTAAAACAATTTTGACATGATGACTGTCTTACATTAATGGATGATTTAGTGTTCACACCATGGACTAGTGTGCTGGCAATATCAGGATCGTTTGCTTTTCCATGGTAGACCCGAACTGTCCCAACGGGTGGCTGAGCAGAATTTACAAACTTTTTCACCACAGGTGGAGTTACAGTCTGTAAGTAAAAACATAAATTAATATTTTATACAATGCCAGTCAAAGGTTTGGTTTTTCAAAGGTTTTATATACACACATGCACAGAATGGTTTGGTACATCAATTTACTGCTATATATATAT